CCTGAGCAGACACATGAAAGTAAAGGCCTGCAAGAGGTCCCCAGGTTAAACTGGAGACTGGAGGTGACAATGGCCTTGCGTTACATACTTGATTTTTTTTAAAGCCACAGCCTGGATTTTCCTCAATGCAGCATTTTCCTTCATTCCTGGCAATAAAGGAATTGTGCTGATCGATAGGTTTTTAAGTTCCCTTTTGGGGTGAAGGAAGATGAAAGAGCAGGAGTAAGTTGGACTCACGTCTGTGGATTTTTATTCTAACGAGCGTCATACATTTTTAAAACAGTGAAATCGGGCTTTAGCCTTGAAACGAACAAACAAGAAACTACCCTGTTAATAATTAATCAGAACTGTACATGACTTTGAACCAGGAATAACATTATGAGTAGATTTTCGTAGTGAAGAAATTGTCCTGACCATTTATGAGAGATTTGTGAATGAAGCTGAGGGACACGTGGTGGGGAAAATACTAGGAAAGGCTGCACGGAGCGGAGGGGCAGAGTCCAGCATTTGACGCCCACGGCACAAAGAGAAGCAAGTTTGGCGAGCATAAGATGATTTTTTATAAACATTCTTACTGGTCGGGGAAAAAATCAGGCAGTACCCAGGCAGATCTCTTCCCAAGTTTAAGTAGAAAGGGTGGAAAAGGCTGTCGAGAGCTGGACTTCCCAGCGTAGGGTGCTGCGCCCTCAGCACCTCTCACCAGGGCGAACTTGCAGGAGTCAAGTGACAAGGAAGGTCGCCCGCGGGCCAGCTGAGGGGACGCACCAGTGTGCTGAAGCCACACGGGCCCAGCTCTGGGCCTCGGATTCTGAGAAACGAGTCCAAACGTCGCCCAAAGCAAACAAACTAACACACATTTACACAGAGAAACGGGAGTTCGGAGGGAACCAGCGTTCTCGGGCCAAGGGGACGACCCAGTCTGTTCCGACCAGGACGCTAAATCGAGGTCGTCGAGCAGCACCGTGAGCAAAGGGAGACGGATGACGAATGCCGCTGGAAGGTGACATCACCGAAGCTGGAAAACCTGCTGGTGGCTTCTCCCCACGCCTCTGCCCTGGGCCCAGGCGGGGGAGGGGTGGGGGTGGGGGACAGCACCCCGGCGTCCGTGCCCTGGGAGGCTGGGGACACGAGGGTGCAGCATCGACGCCGGGAGCTCTCGCCGGGAGTCTGGGGTCCCCCGGGTGTCTCCGAGGTCCTTTCTGGTGTCTGTGAAGTCAAAATTATTGTCACAACACTAAGATGGCACCTGCCTTCCTCACTTTTCTCCTCTCCCAAGGGAGTTTTCCAGAGGCTGCGTGGCATGTGATGACGTCACTCTGACAGCTATCGGAAAGTGTGCTTGTTATGTTTTTAATTTTTCTCCATTTGAATTTCTAATACGATAAACATCAGTAGCTATAAGCCACATTAAAAAAAAAAAAAGATCTTTAGGGCTCTCAGTATTTACGAGCGGAAACGTGCCTATGACAAAAGGCTTCAGAACCACTGGTACAGACCGACATCTCACCGTCGACACTAGAACACAAGCCAACACGAGAATGCTATTCTAGCTCATGAAATTTTCAAAATATACTAGTACTCCAGACGAAGGCTTCTTAATGAGCTTTAGGGAACATTTTATCTCATTAGGCGCATAATATTCAGATTAACAAAATAAAATGAATGATACTCGAACTCTTCAGTTTTAATCGATACACCTTATAATTGTGTCGATTAAACCGTCCGTCTTTGGGAGAAGTGAGTGAGAAGGTGGCGGAAAGAGCGAGGACTCTGGCCACCCTTGGACGGCAGAGCCGCGTCTCCTTTATGGTGTTGGGGGGACAGCGAGAGGCACCGGTGTCAGCGACTGGCCGGGGGAGGCTGCTCTCTCTGGGGGTTCACGAGTGCTGGGCGCCCATCACCCGCAGCCTCATTATCTTGCCGGCCGGCTCCTTCCTGGGCGAGGAGGGCAGCTGTGTCTTCTGCAGAGCTCTGTAGGTGTCTGCCAGCAGCCCGTGGAACACAGCCGTCCGGGGCCCCAGAATGGGCAGTCTGTAGTGGACGCTCTCTGGAGGGCAGTGGAGAAGGGAGGGCGAGGGCTGCTTAGATGCGATTGTTAAAGAAACTCGAAATAACCAAAGGTCACTAAAGCCCTCTTCGACCTTGGGAAACAGATTCAAAATTCTCATAGGAATTCCCCTTACTGGAACCGTCTAATGCCCCTCAGAGGTGAAGCTTTTACAGACCTCGTCAAAGAAGCTCGGAAGGGGAGCCTAGAAATACAACTCAGGGATGGGGAGTCACAGCTGGCTATTAAATTAAATTAAAAATGAAGATAAAATGCGTCCGGAGTTGTAATGTGAGTCAAAGGGATAGAGGGCTATTCGGTTTTCAGAGGACTATTTAGAGACACGGATATTATTCTGCTCTTCAGACAAACATGATTTCACAAAAAGGCCCCAGGAGAGAAAAAGGACTTGCATTTCAAAAGGAAACTTTGTTTTACAAAATAATTTGTTTCAGGACTCCTTATAATCCTTGCCATCCTGACTTCTTCTTTGAATATTATTTTATTTACAAGAAGTTGTTGATATTCAACTTTTCCAGAAGATCTGGGGCTTGAAGAAGAGTCAATTGGTACATGAAATAACATCTTCCCCCTGGAAGTCACCGAGTGACTGAGGGAGCTGGAGATGGGAACTCTGTGGGACAAGCTCCTCCCTCCAGCTGAGTGAGAGCTGAGCGATGTCACAAGGTCACACACCTAGGATCCGGCTCAGTCTCATCGCTGCGATGACGAGGAAACAGAGGTCCAAGGCCACAGGCCCTGATGAACTGAGGACCAGAACCCAGAGCTCTTTGTACCGTATGACACCGCGGTGCCAGGTGGCAGGTATCCCTACCCATGTTTACTGACAAGCGTCTCTGAGTGTCGTGGAACTCTGGACTCAAGGCCAAGTCGAGATACACGAGTTCAGAGCCTTATGGAGATGGCTCTTCCCACTTCCTTAGTTCTCACTAGTAATTATTGATAATCTATGAAGTTCAGCTGAATCCAGAAAATCACACAAAGTCACTGCTGTGATCAACAAAGTGAGGCAGACAGTCATCGGCAGTGACAGTGGCTGGGATGAGCCAGCCACTTGGTCTCTGCGGCACGGCCACAGGCAGCACAGCACAGGCGGGTGGCCCCGCAAGCAATAAACGGGCTCTGCGGTGGGGACACGTGTAAGCCATATAAACCGCGGGGCTGGGGCCGCGTAGGCAGTTTTCCCGGGCAGATCAAAGGTGAAGGCTGCTTGTCCTGAGGCGCTGGCTCTTGGGAGGAGGGGGTGGTGGGGTGGAGTGGGAGATAAAACGCTTCTCCGGTTTTACAGGCAGGAACGCCGAGGTCCAGAGAGTTTAAACAATTGGGCGAAGCCCGTACAGCCAGACTAGGATCCGAGGCCACTTCTCTCGGCAACTGGGCTAGTGCTTTCCCCATAAACTCAGAGACACACACACGAGCAAAGCTCGGCTCCGAAAGGGCGTGGCTGGCACCAACGTGGATTTACTAAGCTCCAGCTCCAGGCCAAGCCCATCAGCACCGTCCCTTAAGTGCCACCTGCAAGACCGGTGTCCTTGGATGGACTCCATGGGCAAGACCCAGGCCTATCCAAGACCATAACATGCCGATCTCGCAAACACCAAGTCCAGCTCTTGTATCAGCCATTGGCACACACCCCCAGGGCTATTAAGTCGATGAAAGGCATCTTATCACATTGTCCTATTGAATTAGGAAATAAACATGCTCGCTGAGGGAAAGGTGCACGTGCGTATGTGTGCGTGTGCGTGCATGTGTGCGTGTGTGTGTGTGTGTGCGTGTGTGTGTGTGCGCGCGCGCGCGCACACGCACGCATTGCTTGTGAGGCACACGTGGCTGGTACAGAGAAACCTGAATACGACTGCAAGTCACCCACTGTGCTCTTGGCTTCAAGGGACTGAGGTGGCTGCAGACCAGAGGACGGCTGTGGGGAGGGGGCGGCCTGTCACCCACTGTGCTCTTGGCTTCAAGGGTCTGAGGCGGCTGCAGACCAGAGGACGGCTGTGGGGAGGGGGCGCTTCTGTTGAGTGGACGCGCTCAGCCCTCAGCCCGTCAGCCCGCGGTGGCTGCATGAGCACGTGCGCGGGCCAGGATTTCTGGGTTCATAAGAAGCGATGCGCTGGGCTTTAGTCCCACTAGCGCGGATGTCTCCAACCCTCGGCTGTCGCCTGAGTCTCTGGTCCTCCCTTTTGGTGCCCCCTTTGAGATACACGCTCTGCCCCCTTTCCTGAGGCCTTCAGTTCTGTTCCAGGACGGAGCTTAGAGCCCCCACCTGTGTGAAGGGAAGAGGTGATGCTGTGTGTGTCGAATGAAAGAGAAACCCAAGGTGGCTTCTGTTAGTATGGGAACAAACGAGGAGATGGACAAAGTGACTAAAGTGACAGCCTATCGTGCACTGAACCCTTGAATTATATCACCCCAAAGTCTCACCCACTCCCACCTTCCCCAGCCCGGTGTTGTTTCTCTAGAAGATGCGACTCGGGTCCATGCTGCGGCTGGAGACAGAGCTGCTGCCCTTCTGCTATTAACAGCAAGTGAGCATAAGAATAGCACTGGGCAGCTTCCGGGAGAGGCCGGGGCTTTAGGAAGTCTGGGGTGGGAGGTTCAGGCCATTCCAGGGGGCGAGAATGCAGTTCCCTCCCCCACTTCATTGGTACTATCAGTTCTGCCTGAGAAGGGCGTTATTTACTTGGCGCCGAGCTCTATGAAAAGTCTTCGGCAGGTGGATTATGGGGCTCTTTAGAAAGAATGGTGCAGAAGCAGGTGGCATGGAGAGGACCCAGGAAGAAACATGACATGGATAAAGGCAAGCGAGGCCCGAAGATGGGACAGGTAAGGCTGGAGTGAAGGGAGGGCTTTGGACCCACAGAAACAGGCCAAACAAACAATACGTCAAAGAGAAAGGGAGAGAGGATGGAACCCCAAGACCCCGACTAGCCAAAGCAATCTTAAGAAAAAGTAACAAGCCAGAGGTACACACCCCCTCACTTCAAATTATACTACAAAGCTGCAATAACCAAAACAGCAGGGTAATGGCAGAAAAATAGACACACAGACCCATGGAACTGAATTGAGAGCCTGGAAAACAAACCCATTTTACATAGGCAACTAATTTTTGACAAAGGAGCCAAAAACAACATATAACAGAGAAAGAAAAGCTTTTTTAGTAAAAGGTGCTGGGAAAGTTGGAAAGCCACATGCAAAAAAAAAAAAAAGAAAGAAAGAAATGGTGCTGGGAGAGTTGGAAAGCCACATGCAAAAAAAAAAAAGAAAGAAAGAAAAGAAAGAAAGAAAAAGAAAAGAAAGAAAGAAGCCAGACCGCTGACACCACACAAAAATTAACTCAAAATGAATTAAAGACTTGAATATAAGACCTGAAACAATAAGATTCACAGAAGGAAACATAGGTACTAAACCTAAGGACTTTGGTCTCAGAGGTGTTTTTGTGAACTGAACCCCAAAGGCGAGGAAAGGAAAAGCAAAAATTAATGAATGGCATTATATCCAACTAAAAAGCTTCTGCGCAGCAAAACAAACCAGCTACAAAACAAAGAAGCAACCAACGGGAGAAGATATTTGCAAACGATACCTCTAGTAAGCGGTTAATATCCAAAAATATTTCAAGAACGCATACAACTCGACAACAAAAGAATAAACAATCTAATTCAAAAAATTGGGCAGAGGACCAGAACAGACACTTTTCCCATAAGGACTTACAGATGACCAACAGATGTATGAAAAGATGCTCAACTTCACTAGCATGAGTGAAATGCAAATCAAAATAACACAGATACCACCTCACACCTGTTAGAATGACTATTATCAATGACCCAAGAAATGACGAGTGTTGGAGAAGATGCGGAGAAAAAGGACCCTCAACACTGCTGGTGGGAACGTAAACTGGTACAGCCACTATGGAAAACAGTGTGCGGTTTTCTCAGAAAATTAAGAATAGAGCTACGTTTTGACCCAGCGATCCCTCTTCTGGGTATCTACATGAAAAATCTGAAAAAATTTATCCTTAAAGATATATGCACCCCATGCTCATTGCAGCATTATTCACAATAGCCAAGACATGTAAACAATCCAAACATCCTTCGACGAATAACTGGATAAAGAAGATGTGGAACACCTATACAAAGGAATATTACTCAGCCATAAAAAATGATGAAATATTACCGATTGTGACGACATGGATGGATCTTGTGAGTATCATGCTAAGTGAAATAGGTCAGACAGAAAAGGACAAGAATCATATTATTTCACTCATGTGTGGGATATAAAATAGAAAACCACAAATAAACTCGGGGGGGTAGCGGGGAGGACAGAGGATAGAGTAAAGGGGGTCAAATACATGGAGACAGAGGGGACTAGACTTTGGGTAGTGACCACGCAATGTAATACACAGAAGTTGTATCACGGAACTGTAAACCTCAAACTTATTGTTATTAACCAATGTTACCCCAATAAAATTAATATTTTTTTAAAAAAAGAATGAGAATTTGTTCAGAAAAATCTAGAGATTTTCTTAGGATTAAACCTCTCATTCCATCACTCTGGGGCACTATGCCTCCCACCACACGGTACTCCAAAAGCAAGCAAACCTGTTGGGATGTCATCATAAGGACACTTGGGTGCAGTCTGATCTCTCGGTGGCTGAAGACTCATCATTCTGATTGGAGAAAGCAAGAAAACACATTAGTTATTTGACTAGAACTTGCTGGAAGGTGTCGTTATACATTTTAAAACAGAGATGGTCCCTTGAATCCAGCACTTGTCAGCTTGGTACCGACACCACTTTGCAGCAGAGACGACTGGGCCAAACTTGCACAAATAAAGTACTTTTTAATAAAGCACCAAACTTGCAAGATAAATAAATTGGGGCAACAAAATTTCAAAAGTCTCCTCCATAAAGGAGTGAACTTTTACTCAGAAATCCTGACTTCAGGTAGTTCAGTTTTCCGTTTAAAGTCTGCAAAGGATATTTATTTATTAGAACTATTTTCATTGTGATCCGATATGAGTTCTTTAAAAGCATGGAGTCAGTGGAGGTAAATGTTAGTAGCGCTGGAGCTGGCAGTGCTCAAACAGCTGTTTTCTCCATGATCCCATCCACCTGGGCTACACACCTGGTTTCGATGCATCTGAGTCCCCATCTCACCGTGGGACAAATGGCCCTGAGCTACACAGGGAATAATACCTACTTCTGTCCAACATACGCTTACAAAAAGGCCTATTTATTCCCCCATGTTATTACTCTCTGTATGAGGGGAAAAAAAATTAAAGATTGCCATTAGATCACATATAACTTAAAATTTTCTTCTTTTTCAATTACTATCGACATTCAATATTATATTTGTTTCAGGTGGTTAGCATAATGGTTAGACATTTACATAACTTATGAAGCGACCCCCTCAATAAGTCTAGTACCCACCTAGTTATTATAATACTATTGACTGTATCCGCTATGCCATACTTTACATCCCCATGACACATATAATTTTTTTGACTGGTCATATGTAAGGCTATGTGCACATTTCAGCCACCCACTGATAGACAAGTCTACCTACCTTGGTGCTTGATCTAGAATGAGTCATGTTTGGAGCGTTTTAATAAAGTAAAAACTGAGTCCTTCTTTCCTGTCTGATAGTTAAATACAGAAAACAAAACAAAACAAAACAAATAAAAAAACCCTAATATCCAACTAACCAAAATTCTGCCTGGATTTATTTCTGATAAACCTGATCTTGATAAGAAAGCAGCAGATAACCACTAGAGGAACTGATAACAGGAATTTTAGTCACTAGAAAGTAGCAGAGGGTGTCCAGGCTCCCGTGAGTTCTATCTGCCACCCACGTGGAGAATTCGTATTTAGTTCTTAGGAGACTAAGAAGCTCCTGCCCTGTTCCCTGTACTGTTCTCGTGAAGGCAGAAAGGACGACAAACCTTGTACGGCAGTGTCAACAGCTGTGCAAGCAAAAAGGTGAAAACGTTTTGGGTCTACCTGGTTTAACTGGGAAACGAAGCCAGTCAAGAAGCCCACTGCCTAGGCAGCCCCTCTGCATTCTGCTGTGTTTCTCTACCCACTGTCCTGCGGCCCCAAAGTGATATAATCAGTCGGAATTAAAGTCACGTCCCGATCAAAACCTTCGACTTACTTATGACTCAGTAAATTCTCAAAGGACAGCTGCAGATCATCTGGGATCATCATGGTTCTTGGTTGCACCTGAGGCGGAACGTCTCGTTAGAACACTGCCCCAAACCACATTCCCACCCACACAGGTAGGGTCCCACCTCAGCAGACTCGAGCAGTCATTCGCAGTCATTCGTGCACCACTGTGATATGGATCGACCAGCAGGGACCACCCCGCCCCACCCAAGTCATAGGGTCTTCGTTCTTCCCTGGCGATCGGATTCTGAAGTTAGGTACTTCACGATCAGTAAGACTTACAACTCCTTTTGTTTGGTTTACCCCCCAATTTTTCGGGTCTCAAGTTAACTGTCACTTTCTCACAGACACTCGACTCCGGGAGTCCTGTCTTGTGACCTCACTGTTCCCCAGGCTTCCTCTGTCAGAACACACACAACCCTTGCACTGTG